CTGCTGTCAGGAAGGGCCCCCACCTGCTGCTGTCAGAGGAGCCTCCCACCTGCTGCTGTCAGGAGGGCCTCCCATCTGCTGCTGTCAGGGAGGAGCCTCCCACCTGCTGCTGTCAGGGAGGAGCCTCCCACCTGCTGCTGTCTGGGGAGGAGCCTCCCCATCTGCTGTCAAGGGAGGGCCTCCCACCTGCTGTCAGGGGAGGAGCCTCCCACCTGCTGCTGTCAGGAGGAGCCTCCCATCTGCTGCTGTCAGGAGGAGCCTCCCACCTGCTGCTGTCAGGGAGGAGCCTCCTGTCCCACCTGCTGCTGTCAGGGACGGAGCCTCCCACCTGCTGCTGTCTGGGGAGGAGCCTCCCACCTGCTGTCAGGGAGGAGCCTCCCACCTGCTGTCAGGGAAAGAGTCTCACCTGCTGCTGTCAGGGGAGGAGCCTCCCACCTGCTGCTGTCGGGGAGGAGCCTCCCATCTGCTGTCAAGGGAGGAGCCCACCTGCTGTCAGGGAGGAGCCTCCCACCTGCTGCTGTCAGGGAGGGCCTCCATCTGCTGCTGTCTCCCATCTGCTGCTGTCAGGAGGAGCCTCCCACCTGCTGCTCAGGGAGGGCCTCCCACCTGCTGCTGTCAGGGGAGGAGCCCACCTGCTGCTGTCTGGGGAGGAGCCTCTCACCTGCTGCTGTCAGGGAGAAGCCCACCTGCTGTCAGGAGGAGCCTCCCACCTGCTGTCAGGGAAGGAGTCTCTCACCTGCTGCTGTCAGGGGAGGAGCCTCCCACCTGCTATCAGGGCTGAGCCCACCTGCTGCTGTTGGGGAGGAGCCTCCCACCTGCTGTCAGGGAAGGAGCCTCCCACCTGCTAAGGAGGAGCCCCCCCTGCTGCTGTTGGGTGAGGCTTCTGCTGTCAGGGAGGAGCCTCCCACCTGCTATCAGGGAGGAGCCCACCTGCTGCTGTCAGGTGAGGAACCTTCCACCTGCTGCGTCAGGGGAGGAGCCTCCTGCTATCACAGAGGAGCCCACCTGCTGCTGTCAGGTGAGGAGCCTTCCACCTGCTGCTGTCAGGTGAGGAGCCTTCCACCTGCTGCTGTCAGGGGATGAGCCTCCCACCTGCTATCATGGAGGAGCCCACCTGTTGCTGTCAGGTGAGGAGCCTTCCACCTTCTGCTGTCAGGTGAGGAGCCTCCCTCCTGCTATCAGGGAGGATCCCACCTGCTGTTGTCAGGTGAGGAGCCTTCCACCTGCTGCTGTCAGGTGAGGAGCCTCCCTCCTGCTATCAGGGAGGAGCCCACCTGCTGCTGTCAGTTAAGGAGCCTTCCACCTGCTGCTGTCAGGGGAGGAGCCTCCCTCCTGCTATCACAGAGGAGCCCACCTGCTGCTGTCAGGTGAGGAGCCTTCCACCTGCTGCTGTCAGGTGAGGAGCCTCCCTCCTGCTATCAGGGAGGAGCCCACCTGCTGCTGTCAGGTGAGGAGCCTTCCACCTGCTGCTGTCAGGTGAGGAGCCTTCCACCTGCTGCTGTCAGGTGAGGAGCCTTCCACCTGCGGCTGTCAGGTGAGGAGCGTCATGGTAACATTTTCCATCGTTTTGGTTGTAGCTGAGCTGTAGGCCTGGGGTGTGGGAGGAGGAGGAAGTGGTATACGTCATCCCATAAAGGTCACTGATTCCGCGCTTCCCTAAAACATGTGTGGGGGTAAGGTAGGGGGGTGTAAGGTTGGTGTGTGTGTGCGCGTGCGTTTGCGCGTGTGTGTGTGTGTGTGTGTGTGTGTGTGTGTGTGTGTGTGTGTGTGTGTGTGTGTGTGTGTGTGTGTGTGTGTGTGTGTGTACGTGCGTATATGTGTGTGTGTAGGATAATATGAATGGAGTACGAAGATGAATGTGTGTAGATGACTTCATAAAATGTAGAATGATAATAAGAAATACGTCATAGAATGTGTAAAATATGTGTACATGAGGTAACATTTTTAACCATTGATAAATAACGTAGAGGAATAAATGAAAGTGTAAAGAGATGTGTATGGGGAGAGGAGGAGAGAGAGGAGGAGGAGGGGGAGAGAGGAGGGTGTAGTAGATAAGGTGGTGAGGAGACATGTGGATGACCAGGCATAGAGTACAAGTCACTCACCTAGTACCTGACCTGAGAAATTTCGTATGCACCAGGTTACGTGGGGTGGGGGTGGGGTGGGCTACGACGCGTGGTATCCTGATGACCCCATATGGTAGTTCGGCTGTTAGTATTGGCTTGTAATGGTCCCTTTCCTCCCCTCTAACATTGTTCCACGAATCGCTGCTTTGATCGACCCCCCTGAGGAAGTTGACGATTGTGACTGATAGATGATTCCTGGTGGATGTGGTTGTTGACGGGTGAGGTCTGTGTTCAATGTGGATGGATGTGGAGGTTGACGGGTGCCTGAGATCTGGTGGATGTTGACCGGTGAGGTCTGTGTTCAATGTGGATGGATATGACCCGTTGTATGTGGATGTTGACGGATGTTTACTTGTTGTATGTCGGTCTGGTGGATGGGGTTAACGGATGACATAATTAACAGGTGAAGCCTTGATGACGAACCCCAAGCGAGTGAAGCCTTTCGGATGTGATTCTTGATTGATGACCCTTTGATGGATGACCTCTGATGGAACTGACGGATGACCCCCTGATGGATTACATCCCCCATGGATGAATCTGTAACGTATTGATTTAAAGACTATTTATATCTCGTCACCAACCTTTTGTGCTGTTAAATTATATAGTTATTACAGATTCATATGTATCGCAGGAGCTATGTATCGTAAGAGCTATGTATCGTAGGAGCTATGTATCGTAAGAGCTATGTATCGCAAGAGCTATGTATCGTAAGGGTCTTTGTATCGTATGTATCGTAAAGATCTATGTATCGTAAGAGTCTTTGTATCGCTCAGTCTACAGTCTACAAAATGCCAAGCGACAGTACCGTAGGCTGACACACATGTAGTCCTTGGTGGCACCTCAAAGGGTGTTGGGGTGCCAGGATAAGGTAGTTTCCCCCGTCTCCTTAACCTACCATTTTCTTTCTTCCCTTCCCCCATACCTCGTTAACACACCTGTGACGAACATGTGTACACTGATAAAACACACACACACACACACACACACACTCACTCACTCACTCACTCACTCACTCACTCACTCAAACATACTCAAGTCTATTCAGGGAATGTGTAATGTTGATCTTTAGTGAACATTGTAGTGTGTCTGTTTGTCCGTCCGTCCTCATACGGTTAAATCATCGTCTTCAAAGGGTTAAACCATGGTCCACAAAGGGTTAAACCATCGTCCACAAAGGGTTAAACCATGGTCCACAAAGTGTTAAACCATGGTCCTTAAAGGGTTAAACCATCGTCCACAAAGGGTTAAACCATGGTCCTCAAAGGGTTAAACCATGGTCCACAAAGGGTTAAACCATCGTTCTTGAAGGGTTAAACCATGGTCCTCAAAGGGTTAAACCATGGTCCTCAAAGGGTTAAACCATCGTCCTCAAAGGGTTAAACCATCGTTCTTGAAGGGTTAAACCATCGTCCACAAAGGGTTAAACCATGGTCAACAAAGGGTTAAACCATCGTTCTTGAAGGGTTAAGCCATCGTCCACAAAGGGTTAAACCATGGTCCACAAAGGGTTAAACCATCGTTCTTGAAGGGTTAAACCATCGTCCACAAAGGGTTAAACCATGGTCAACAAAGGGTTAAACCATCGTTCTTGAAGGGTTAAACCATCGTCCACAAAGGGTTAAACCATCGTCCTCAAAAGGCAAGGATATATAGTTATGTTGAATAAAAAATTTATTTAATAATATAATAATGATGATGATAATAATATCGAGTTAAACATGTGAATGTCATTGAAGGTGACGATATATATGGTGACGATGATGATGATAATGAGAGTAATAATGAAGATGAAGTTAACGATAGTGATGAGTATGATGATGATGATGATGATACCGTCTCTACTGGCAAAAGAAAATGACAGTGATAGTGACAGATAAAAGGACTATTACCATGATACAAGTGAACGTGACGATAATGATATGATAATATAGATAGTAATTAATGATAAGTAATGATAGTGAAGATGATGACAGTGATTGTTAATGAAAATGATACTGAAAATGATACTTCGTGAAGATTATGATAATGATATTGAAGATAATGACAGTGATAGTGAAAATTATGAGTTATAGTGAAGATGATGGGGATAATGAAAGTGATAGTGATAATTATTAACTAGTGAAAATGGTGCTGGTGTAATACTTAGTGAATATGATAATGAAGATGAGAATAATAATGAAGGTAATGATAATAATACTTAGTGATGATAATGATTGTGAAGCCGTTTTTCATGTGATAATGATAGTGACGTTTAGGGAAGATGAAGGGTCAATATAGTGAGGACAGTGACTCATTCTTCGTGATGATGATGATGATAGTATGGGCAATGATGACTGATAAATATAATGATAAGTGTGATAATGAAAATGATGGTTGATATAATGAAGGTGATACCAGTGACCATGACGAGTGAAAATGTTGATATTGATGGTGATAGTGAGTTCTTGAGATGGTGATATGATGATTATGATATAGGATGATGCTGCGGAGGGAAGGATGATGAGGGTATAGGATGATGGTGAGGTCGTAGTATGATGCCATGGAGGTGAAGATGACTTTGAGGGACCATGAAGATGAGGTCGTGAGCTGATGCTGTGGAGATGAAGATGAAGTTGTGGGATGATGAAGATGAGCTGGCTAGATGCTGGTATGGGCCGGGGTGGCGGTGGGTCGGGCAGGGGCAACCAGCGAGCGAGAGGGCCCAGCGAGCGGTGGCGGGATGGCGTTGCGCAGATCGATGTGCCTCGCTCCTCCCCTCCTCCTCCTACCTCTATCCCTCCACCACCACCACCACCTTCCTGCTGCTGCTGCTGCTGGGGTAGTTCAGCGAGCTGGCCTTTAGTCCTCCGGTAGCACCTGACAGACACACACACACACGCCACGCCACCCATTGGTCCCCCTCCCACCACCACGACCTCCCCCTGACGCCTCCCCCGGACCACACGCACGCCACCACTCTCGGCCCTTTTGGCCCCCCGAGTACCCCGACTTTGGCACTACTGCAGGACCGTCGACAAGGCTCTTAGTGACACCCAAGACTCAAGTGCTGGAGCTAAGAGACCCCCGTGGTTCTCGACGGCGCGGCTCTCCTCGAGTTGTTCTGCCTACCTGTCTATACCCGTCAAGCCAGCCAGCAGGCCGTGACGCGGGGCATGTCAGCTGTGAGCAACTGGTGCCCTGGGCGGCTCCGCGGGGGTGTTGACGGAGTGTTGACAACATTCCTGGCCACGGTATAGGTTTTATTGGCTCGCGGGAGGCAGTGAGGTGTATTGGCGTCCAGTTGGCCCGTGGAGGTGTTGCCTCGCCTTGCAGCTTATGTTGAACATCTTGTAGTTTTGAGGACTGGCGGAGTATCTTAATAGCCGAGTGTTCCCGGTGACTGAGTGACCGCTGGTGAATTACTTTAAGGTTGAGTGTTGTGTAATGTTCCGCCAGGACGACGTACCACGCGAGTGATCGACTCTGGTAAGGTTGAGGCGCGACGAACTGTTCTGCTTAACGGTTGACTTGACGACGACTTGGCAGTGGTACCTTGTGCCAAGTGAGTGTGGCAGCCGGCCCAGGTGTGGGCGTGATGGCGGTGTAGCTCACCGCCCACCTCATTCCTTGCCAGACCCCTCAGCCACCGGCCTGGAAGCCCTTACAGTTGTCGAATGGAGAATGCAGCTCTTACTCAAGAGTAAGCACCGTGAGAAGGGCGGCGGCGGGGGCGGCACTCGTGGGCTGGCGGAGGCGGCTGGTGGTGGGCCCGGCCCCTCCAGGCCGCCCTCAAGAACCACCTCCCGTGGGCCGTCCCGAGGCTCGTCCAGACCACCCTCCAGGCCACCCTCCAGGGACGTGAGTCCCGTGCACGAAGCTGCTAATTTTCACCCCGACTTGGTATCCCCCGGAGCCACCTACTACGAGTCCCCTCACCATCACTACTACCACAACCATGGTCACCACCACCGCTCCCATCACCACCATCACCACCACCAGGCATGGGATGCCAGGGCCTCCTATCACCAGCACCGTCGCATCGCCCACGACCTCCCTGACGGCGTGCCTGATCCTCGCTTCGCCCCGACTTGTCCCTGCGGGGGTCGGCTCTCCAGGGCGTCCTCGTGGGATTCGGAATGCCCTCCTGATAAGGCTGAGTCAGGATGCTTCCCCAAAGGGCGTTCCAAGCACGAATGTGGCACCCGGTCCGGCCGACGGTCTGGTCATAAAGACGGCCGGGGCAGGATACGTCGTCTCATCGACTTGTCTGTGATAATGGGCATATTCAAGCCTTGCAAGGTGAGTCTCCTCCAGCACCTGAAGAAGGCGTTTTCCTCCGTCATTATTGTTTGTAGTGTTACGATGTTATAAGACGAGGTTACGCAAGGTATCGTTTACCTATATTACCTTTCCTGATGATCACTATAATGTACCCCCGTCACACACCTGGAGTGTGTTCTCGGTCAAGTAGACGAAATTCTCGGGTCGAGTTCATGTGACACTTGACAGCCGAACGACCGAGGGACGCCAGGAGTACGCGAGGGAGGGGGGGAGGTTAAACGTCAAGAGAAGCCAGAGAGTCCTGGATATACCGTAGGGGGTAGTATGACAGGTGGGGTTCCGGTCTACAGGTATGGCAGGTGAGGTCCTGTCTACAGGTGTGACAGGTGGGAATCCCGTCTACAGGTAGGACAGGTGGGGGTCCCGTCTACAGGTATGACAGGTAGGACCCTGTCTACAGGTATAACAGGTGAGGGTCCTGTCTACAGGTATGACAGGTGGAGTCCTGCCTATAGGTATGGCAGGACTCAGAGTATGATGAAGCATAACGAGTCCCTCCTCGAGTGTGACAAAGCATTATGGGTTATTATACTTATTGTTTTATAAGTGTTTTACTTCACTGTTTTGTAAGTTAATCGTAACTCTTTCTTTTAGTGACCTTGAAGGTGGTATTAGAAGTGTGTGTGTGTGTGGGGGGGGTGATGATGAAGCTTGACTGTTGAACATATACTGTAGGTACATATAGTAGACCATAAGATCACAGGTCATAACGTGTTGGACGTTGTTAGATACACTGTAGTTATAATTATATTTATTAGTTTTGAACAGTTAACACACTACATAAAGGTGTATTAACACCTAACGCACTACATAAAGGTGTATTAACCCTTAACACACTAAATAATGATGTATTAACACTACACACTACATAATGGTGTATTAACGCTTAACACACTAAATGATGATGTATGAACACTTAACACACTACATAGCGGTGTACTAACACAACACACTAAATAATGATGTATTAACACAACACACTACATAAAGGTGCATTAACACTTAACACACTACTTAAAGGTGTATTAACACTTAACACACTACATAAAGGTGTATTAACACAACACACTATATAAAGGTGTATTAACACTTAACACACTAAATAATGATGTATTAACACAACACACTACATAATGGTGTATTAACACTTAACACACTACGTAAAGGTGTATTAACACAACACACTACATAAAGGTGTATTATACAACACTCTACATAAAGGTGTATTAAGAAACTAAATAATGATGTATAAACATAACACACAACATAAAGGTGTATTAACACTTAACACACTAAATAATGATGTATTAACACAACACACTACATAAAGGTGTATTCACACAATACACTACATAAAGTTGTATTAACACAACACACTACATAAAGGTGTATTAACACAATACACTACATAAAGGTGTATTAACACAATACACTACATAAAAGGTGTATTAACACAATACACTACATAAAGGTGTATTAACACAATACACTACATAAAGGTGTATTAACACAACACACTACATAAAGGTGTATTAACACAACCCACTACATAAAGGTGTATTAACACAACACACTACATAAAGGTGTATTAACACAACCCACTACATAAAGGTGTATTAACACAACACACTACATAAAGGTGTATTAACACAACACACTACATAAAGGTGTATTAACACAACACACTACATAAAGGTGTATTAACACAACACACTACATAAAGGTGTATTAACACAATACACTACATAAAGGTGTATTAACACACTAAATAATGTATAAACACAATACACTACATAAAGGTGTATTAACACAATAAATAATGTATTACACAACACACTACATAAAGGTGTATTAACACAACACACTACATAATGGTGTATTAACACAACACACTACATAAAGGTGTATTATTAACACAACACACTACATAATGGTGTATTAACACAACACACTACATAAAAGTGTATTAACCCACTACATAAAGGTTTATTAACACAACACACTTCATAAGTGTATCAACACAACACACTGCATAAAGGTGTATTATTAACACAACACACTACATAATGGTGTATTAACACAACACACTACATAAAGGTGTATCAACACAACACACTACATAAAGTTGTATTAACACAACACACTACATAATGGTGTATTAACACAACACACTACATAAAGGTGTATTAACACAACACACTACATAAAGGTGTATTAACACAACACACTACATAATGGTGTATTAACACAACACACTACATAAAGGTGTATTAACACAACACACTACATAAAGGTGTATTAACACAACACACTACATAATGGTGCATTAAGACATAACACACTACACAATCCCTCACAGTACACTTAAGACACTGGAGTACACAAGAGGTCTCACATAACCAGGAAAGTAATAGGTGTGTGTGTGTGTGTGTGTGTGTGTGTGTGTGTGTGTGTGTGTGTGTGTGTGTGTGAACTACCACGACACTGAACAACAAAACACCATCACACCTCATAACTCTCTCACCCCAAGACACGATCGCTTGGAGAGCATTACTAAGCTGGCTCGTTACAGCAGGAGTGTGTTGTTGACCTATTTTAGCGTGGAGTCTTGAGTCGTGGATTCTTGACCAGTCAGTATTGCCGACTGTTCACAACAAGGGGGAGGAATTTGCACTGTGAGACCTGGTGTGTGTTTGTTCCAGTCACAATCAAAACAAGGTCAAGGTCAAGCTTTTCAACACAAGGTCAGGGTCGCACTAGGTCAACACAAGGTCACTTATAAGCACTTTAAATATTACCCTAACAATTTCCCTTGACCCTAACTATTTCCCATGACCCCACGATCTTGAAAACCTTTCAAATTTTTCCCGTTAATCTGAAATATTTCTCGTCTCCTTCAAACATTTCTTCTCTCTCTCTTTAACATTTTGAAACCATTTTTTTAGAAATAGTTTCCTTCCAACCTTCATATATAAATTCCTACCTTTCTTCTTTCCCTCTCTACTGCTTCCTTCTCACCTTCAATCTTTCCTTCCTTCTCATCCACTCTCCCTCCATCTTCCTTTCTCCTCTCCTCCCTCTCTCCCCCCACCTTCCTTTCTCCTCTCTTCTTCCTCCCTCCATTTCCTCCAAGCTGTGGCCCGAGGTTGTGTTTCCACGAAAAAAATCGGAACACTTTATATATAGAGATGATATGAGTGACCCTACCTGGAAACAAAAGTCAGAGGTCATACCCAAGGGGGGGAGGAGGAGAGGAGGCCAGAATCCACGTTGACCAATCGCTCATCTTATAGTGTGTACGTTTTAGGAAATGTGAGGTCATGAGGTCAATCATTCTCAAGGAGGTGGGTGTGCCAGAGTCTAGGTTGTACCGATGTTTTCATAGCTAATTATGGTCATTGAGTTGATGTCTGGTCACTTATGGTGGTGGAGGTAAGTGTCTTTAGTGTTACAAAAGACGCTGTTGGTCAAGTCTTTGTGTAAGTTTGAGGCCATTTTAGATGTTTCTTTTTATCGTATCATGGCGTGAAGATATCTCAGTCACATCTTGAGAGAATCAAACAATGCCTCGTATGATCAGTTCTCGTTACTTAATGACTAAAGAATACAGTTTTGACTTAAGTTAAAACACAAAGATTAACAATGGCGTCACAATTACACCTGAGATTTTACCATAATTAAAATAGTGTCACTTCGAGTACTATTAGTTATGGAGGTAAATTATTCCACCTTGAGAAATCTTTTTGACAGGTGACCCAGATCTTTATAATGATTAGAAATGATAATAGTGTGGGTAGATAGGTAGGTTAGGTGTGGGTGGGTAGGGTGTGGGTAGGTAGGCTGAGGGTGTATTGATTCACGACCCTGAGGTGGCTGGGAGTACCTGAAGGACCTTGACCACTTTTGTAACACTTGGTCACGGTATTACAGCGGGTTGTAGACGACTCGGGACCACCATGACGACTTAAAATGATCATAAACGATTTACTAGACGACCAGAAATGCCTGTAGATCTAGAACGACTTTAGTGTGTGTGTTCGGCGACTTTGACGACCCAGAACGACAGTGTAGTGTGTGTTAGACGAATTGACGACCCAGAACGAGTGTAGCTTGTGCTATGCGACCGTGACGACCCGGAACGACTGTGTGACGTTATATGACCATGACGACCCGGAACGACGACTTCGAATTTTGAAACACGACCCGACAGTGAGGCGAGACACGGCAAAGTGTTCTAGGAAGGTGAAATACAGGGATACCTTGGTGGTGCCTCGCCCGACGACGACGAAGTGCTGACGTTGATGACGATGGCGATGATAACAATGACGACAACAACGAAAATGACGATGATGACAATGATCAGGAAAACGATAATGGATATTCTCCTCTTTTCCCCTCCTCCTCCTCTTTCTTCCTACTCGGCTTATTCTTTCTCCTCCTCCATTTTCTTCTTCTTACGCTTCTTCCCCTTCCTCCTTTCCTTGTCTTTGTTTCTTTCTTCCACTTCTTTAATTTCTTCATACTTTGCGGTTGTCTCTCTCTCTCTTTAACTTTTCTTCTCACACATTCTTACGCTTTTCCCCTCCTGTTTCTCTTCCTTGTTTCCTTCTTCCTCTTCTTCCTCACCCAGTTCTCCCCCCTCTTCCTCCTATCCCCCCTCTTCCACTTCCCCCCACCTCTTCCCCCCCCCTCTTCCACTTCCTGTGTAAGTAGTTAGGGTTGGGCAGGACTATTTAATAGCGGTATAGAGGAAACATTTTCCCTACTACTGTAGCACTTCGAGCGGCCGGCCATTGACGTCACGGTGACATCACTATGACGTCACGGGGAGGAGGAGCCTGAGTGGAATAGGTTGCCAGCGAGTTATTTTTTTTATTTATTTTTTTTTGGGTGGGGGGCTGCCCTCCCTCCCTCCCCTTCCATCTTTTTCTCAAATTAATTCCATTGTTAGAAGTAAA